TAGTCCTCTACCTACCTGCCAGTATGATGTGAGCCTGTGTCTGTCTGTGTTTGAGTCGTGCGTACTGTTTCTTGAGTGAACTGATGTCGGTCGACATACGCTCCAGGTACAGATTACTGTTGCTCAGGGCACTAGAGTCCAGCCCCGCCCCATACGCTCCAGGCCCCACTGATGAGATGTCTGCGTTCGGCCCCGACAAATCTCCCTCCGCTCCTGATCAACAACAAATCAGCAGATGTGTTGAAAACAATGGCATGATTCAAAATGAGAGTTCTATAAGTAATAAACATATTCAATACAGTATAAGATGATCCTTTCATTTCTTAACTTTTAGCAGTCTGACAGCTGTCTGCATACACATGTATCTGTTGGAGACATAATCAGTGAGTTAACCCACTGTCATTAACCTTCATATGACCTTAGAGCAGCTGTTGCTAAGAAATATAACCAGTGTAATAGTCCAAGAGGTCTCTCTCTGCCATCTCTCTACATAGGATATGTTGTGTGCTGGATTCAATAACAGTTACAAACAAAGTCAGTTAGTTGGTCTACATAAACATTGCAAATAGAGTGGTATATTTTCTGTAAACAGAATATCTGTAAGCTGTATACTGGGCAAGTTTTGCCTGGTGAAATGTTTGCCCCTTGTTGGTAAAATCCATACTCACCCAATGTTAGTTTCGCCCATTACTTGTAGATACTATATTGTGTACTTGCTCTCATGATAAATTTGCCCTCATTACTGAGGGCTAACAGGGCAAAAGTTAAAATGTGTTGAAAATTTTCTCATTTTAATGACCATTTAATTACCATGTCAGAATGTTTTTGTCCAGAATTTAACATTTTTATGCTTCTGTTACCTTTTGATTTTCCTTGTCCAATTTGACCTGGAAGTATTCCTGTGAAACATGTAATGGCTTCAAGGTCGTCTTCATCAAGGTCATCCTCGTCGCTTGGCAACACCATTCCTCCGACAACGTTACCCTTCTTGGTGCCTCCCGCGCTGCTGAACGGGCGGATATTATAGGTGTATTTCTCCCGTAGTTCTGGTAACTGCTGCATTGGGAATGGAGCACACGAGTAGATGAACTGTTAAAGGAAAAGAGTACTGAGTAATTGATTGTGAGGCATGGAGAATGGACAGAGTGTGTAAAGGGATAAAGTGTTGGTGGATTATGAGGGATAAAGAAATAAAGACAGATTTTAAGGATAGCTGAAGTTGTGATGGATTGTGAGGATTGTGGGGAATGAAAAAAGAACAGATTGTGAGGAGGGATACAGCATTAATGAACGAAGAAGAGACTGAGTGAAGGGATAAGTATTGGTGGAACAAAGAAGAGATTGAGTGAAGGGATAAGTATTGGTGGATTATGAAGTATGGCGATAAGACAGATCTTGACCATGGACTATTGATGGATGGTGATGAATGGATAAAGAACATGAGGAGAGATGGAGTATTTTTGGTCTCAAGTAGAAACAAAGAAGTGATGGATTTCAAGAAGAAGGATAAGTATTTCAATAGTGAATGAATTATGGATGGACTGCAATGAAGAAAGAGGAAGTATGAACTACAATTATGAATGAAGGAAAGGTGGATGTGTGAGAAGAAAGGAGGGCAGACAGATTACAAAGTATCATGATGAATAGGCAGGCTTTAAGAAGTAACGAAGCCTGAAGAATGGACATATTGTGTGAGGGAATGACAAAAGGACAGATTGTGTGAAGGAATGACAAAAGGACAGATCGTGTGAAGGAATGACAAAAGGACAGATTGCATGGAAGATCAAAGGATGGACAGATCTGTTATCTACATAGAAAAAAAAAATCTGTTTGAAGTTTGAACTGATAAAATCTGGAGTGAAGAGCTCGTCATTGATTGTGAGTGGTGTTGAGACTGAGATGATGGAGTACTACAGCATATCAGGGGCTATAAATCAATACCATCATCTCCGAAACCGTTCCACAGGGAGAGCACATTCGCTCTAATTTTCCATTCTATCATGACGATTACGTAGTTTTTGCTCTTCAAAATGTCTGTCTGCATCAACTATTACCAACTGAGTTGATCTAAAAGTTCGAAATTCCAGATTCATTTCAAAACAGGATACCTCATTTTATAGATCAATATTTCAGGTTCTAACGACATTACATATTGAATTGGTGGTTAAATGAAATCTGCTATGGTTATTTTGACATGACATATTGCCAGAAGCTTTGATAAAACTAATAAAATATCAGCACACAGTTTTAATTACGAAGCTGTTGCATCAAAGGCATGAAATAACAAAAAGGCACAATGTGCCTGTAGAACTCATCCTGTAATTTCTAAAAGACATACTGTGACTGTAGAACTCATCCAGAAATTCTAAAAGGCATAATGTGCCTGTAGAACTCTGCCTGAAATTTGATATTTTGAATACTTAACCCAAAACTTAATTGAAAAGTTTCATCCTACATGACATTATTATGTTAATTCAATGTCACCTACATGTATTTTTAGAATAATTGTACAACATCTGTAGACAAAAGGCCCATGCAGCCTGTATGGCTCACCTGTTATTCAATGTAAACTATATCTAAAGCTGAATTACATTTTCAAAACTGTAACTTTGATTAAAGATTCTGATCACCATATCCTAAAGATTATTTTATGAAATGATGGTGAAAATCTGTCTATTAGTTTTAGGGATACGTCTTTTGAAAGTTTTCCAATAATGACCCTTAACTCATTCACTCTTGAAGACATATTTGAACTCTTCCAATTTAAAGGTTGGAATAGTTCATTATAACATTTCAGGGGTGAGTGAGTTAAGGCTAAGACTCTAAGTAACCCCACTGCCTGAGGGAGAAGGGACAGAGTATTTTTGATGCAGATTCTGTTTCCTACCAAAGGCTGATAATTACAACCAAGTTTCATTAAAATGTGACAAACAGTTTCTGAGAAGAGGTCAAAAATATGATACACAGACAAAAGGAAATTGTAAGAGTTGACCAAAGTGAACTAAAATGTTGACATTGGATACCACCAGACATATGTCATGGCTTAAGCTCACAGACACTTCATGGTAAATGAACTAAAAAGTTGACATATGTCATGGCTTAAGCTCACAGACACTTCATGCTAAACGAACTAAAAATGCTCTCATTCAAATGTTATCAAACTACACAAAATGAAATGAAAAATTAAATTTGGTCTCTGTTTTTATTGAAGAAAACAAGTCTCTTTAAGGTCAAGTAGGTACTGACCTTGATGAGGGCGTCTGCGTCAAAGATTTTGCCCTCCATCATGTCCTGGGTCAGTAAACCCATCAGTGAGTAGAACTCGTCTGCACTCCCAACCGACAGGATGCGTCTGCAAAAGGCAATCAGACGAGGATTATAGGCATGGCCAACATCAGTGAATGCTGTTTCATGGTCTCAGAAGGCAATCTTTTCATTGTAGTTCAATAAAGTTTTTCCATCAAAATTCTATTACTTCTTCCAATTTTTTTCGCCCGATCTTTTTCAATTTTATGTTAGTACGACATTATGATGGAATTACCCTCCATAAAGGCAGATCAACAACAACACAAGTGCCATGTACTCGTTAGTACATAAAGGTGGGGGCGTACATATCACACATTTATGTCTTAATGATAGGTTTCAGAAATATTGATATCTGTGTCACATCTGTTGACTTCTCAGGCAAATACAAATCTGTGGTCATTCATGAAAATACAAAAGGTACAAATACCAGTAAACTTAATCTAAATCTAAGGTCATTTATGTAATTTGAGTGGTAAGTTAATTAATGGAAAAAGTAAGAATTTCTTTTTTTACGAAAGCTCTTTGAAGTAGCAGATCAAGGCCTCATTAATTTGTATTAATTAAGAAATTTATGTACTGGACTACTGATAGGTCCAACATATTAAATTTCAAAATTAAAAAAAAAGATCAGATGAGCTTTGGTTCCCAAAGCTGTATTAGTGATTACAAACATTAACTCCTTTTTATAAAAGACTTTTTTTCTACAAATATTAAAATAAAATTCATTCAAACCAAAACTTCACAGCATTAGAATAAAACTTTTACATTGCCAACAGTAAATTTAACATAATCTACACAGCTATAGAGTACAACTTTACATTATCTTCACTAAAACCATACACTATATCTACATCAACATTATTCAGTAAAAATTTCTACTTAACTTTAGTCCAAATAAATACCATTGGTGACTATGACCTGGAGTGAAGTATGAAAGCAATAAAAGACAAATTTGTTCTCAAAACACAAGAGATAAATGTTCAACATTGTTGACACTATGAAATTAAAGTGCTATAACTGGAAAATTGAACTAATTAAGTAAAGTGAAAAGTGTAAAGTTGAATAATTGGAAAAAGCAGGATTGGAAAGGCTTAAGTGACAACGAACATTTAAGTAATGTAGTGGGTACAATACAACAGTTCTATAAACGATGGTAATGATATACGGCCCTCAACATCCCCAGAGTCTGGGGCATAAAGTGCTTGTCTGCTAAAACAAGGTCACGTTCGTCCCAATGGAACATAGACATGAGATTTGTGTAGACCTACAGCCAAATGGCACATTTTTTTTATTGGCCCTACCTATCTAAAAAGAAAAAAAGGAAACTTCAGCAAGAAAAAAGGAAAATTCAGCATTTTGTTTTTTTGGTACGTTTGAATAAAATGTGTTAGAAAAGAATATTTTTTATGTTACATGTACAGTACATGGGGGTTCCCAAACCTGTGTGACTCGGATGCAGAGAAAGAAACGTTTCTACATCAGGGTTCCAAGAATCATGTGATTTATAAGTAGTAGTCATAGTGACCACACATGTTTGCCCGATACATTAGTTACATTAAGTCTGTCTGGTGACACTTGCCATAATGGAAAATTTGTTAAAAATTTGTCCTTGATATTTTCACAACAGGAGAATATTATCAGATGTCCTTCAGACTGAAATATAGGTTTTTGGTTTATCTGTTTTTGCTTCTGGAATATGATGTCCCTAATTACAGTTGACATATTTCTCTCCTGTTAATAGATATTTTTATCAGTGTTTTAATGTTTTCACAAGAGCCAAGATCATATGGAGATAACAGTAAACATATATTTCCCCTTGTACATTGTATCTACATGTACTACACTGATTGTCTATTATAAAAACCTTGAAAGTATACCCTCCTAACTGTGATATTCCCTTAAACATGTATTGATTTTTCATGAGAATTTAGATAACAGTTATGTCCTCTAACACCAACCCTCACTTTTATGTCCCCTTACATCAACCTTCAAAGTATCCAGGAAACAATTATCTCCCCCGACACAGATCTTGATTACCCAAATTATAGTACGATTCGGTATACTAAACTTGTGTATAGAAATTTACCCTTCAATACTGATCATGACCCTATCAAATACTAAAGTTGACCTCTGATACTCACTTTGACAGTTTGCCCCAAATGGCGAGAGCAGTACGGAGCAGGATTTCGGATCCCTCTAGCAGAATGGAGTCCCAAACTCGCAGAACCACGGCCTTGGGAAGGCACGTGGCAAACATGGTAAGAAACCACTGCATGGTGAATACATTGGTTAGGGGCGGCTCGTAGTTAGCACCTTAAACAAATAAATTGGAAAACAGGTGATAATCAGGACTTTGTGTGAGTATATATAGTGTGAGTGGAGCACAAAACATCACCTCATTGCAACCTCCTGAAAGCTTTGGAAAAAGTGATCGGTTAGTGGCTTCATATTAGTGATTCAAATTGAATATGTTCATCATGTATAAGCTGGTGCACTTCATATACTTGCCTGGCAATATATTTCATTTTGAAAATTGTCAACCATATAGAATTTATTGATAAATTGCTTTCGTAATGGAATAAGAACAAAGGAGTATTCATTGTAAGACAAACCTCCGTGCAGATTACCGAAGGTGCATTGACACGATAATGTCAACGTTGAAATCACTACCACCGAAAATGATAACTCAGGTCACTCAGATGCTTTTTACTATAGTACCATTCCATTCAAACGTTTAAGAGATACCTTTGTGAGATGAATAATCAAAATTAAAGGCAGGCGATATAAAACTTTTTCCCAGATGTTTTTTAATGCAATTTATTTCCCACCAATTATGCAATAAATACAGCGATGCAGGAGGTAAAACTTTGGCAAAGGCAGGCCGGAGAAACTAATAGTTAACCATTTTTGCCAAACAAATTGCAATGTCTTCATAGTGCTTTGCATTGACATTGCCCACATAGTAAAATGGCAGTTTCATATACAAAACAAGTGGAATCAGAATGTATCTTAGAACCTATCGGATTCTCCCGTCTCATCACTCTCCATTAATATTGCCTGTCTGTCTAAAATCATTCATTTTCCGATTTTTTTTATATCAGATTTCATTCTGTTTCAGTGTTATTTTTTTATCAGATTTCCCTCTGTTTCAGTGTTATTTTTTGCTTTCTGGAGGACATGTTTGAAGTTTTCACAGCAGAGAAATTGGAATGTCTTTGCATAAAAGATCCACTTTCAATTCATTTCCATTTGCTAAATCGATTCACCATCGACGAAATACATGGCAATCTGAGAATACAAATCCACTGCTTTTAAGCATTTTACGCTAACAGGAAAACAGTTGTATCAGAAAAGATTATATAGCTTTCTAAAAAGCCACACCCCCACACAATAGATCAATATTTAGTCAGATCGGCTGGCAATCTTCCTACAAACTCTTTCTCAGCTTACATATGGTTATCAGATACTGGGAATTTAATAATATACAATAACAATCATTTGAGGTGGTGGACTTTTCAGCCTCTAAAAAAACCACTTTAATAACAAGAAAAAAAGGTCATTTGCCAGGAAAAAGAGAAATTAATATTGAGGTCTGTTGTTAATACTGCGATCTGTAGAATCTTGTAATCATCATTGCAACCTCAAAAACACACCGACCTGTGTTAAATTTACATTTAGGTTGTGATAGGCTGAAATGAATTGTTGTATATTATCACAAACTGAGTTCATGAATTATTTTTCTTTTTTTTGGGTCGCTTAGATTTGTTGATTGATCAAATCATCAAAATGAATGGAAATATTTTCCAGTCCAACAAATTATCTAACGGATAACTCATCCTACATTTGCCAGTAATTTTTTTCTAAGTGTTGTCTGAGACGGGAATTGCTGACAACAGACATGGAATCCTCTCCGATAGCCAGAAATACTGTGAACTGATTAATAAATAATAACTCTGTTGTGCAACCACGTCTGTTCTGAGCTCTTAAGGAAGCTATGTATACTCTGTACTGCGAAACCTTCACTGGTAAAATTCATATTGACCCAGTGTTGATTTTTTCCTTCACATAGAATAACTATAAATAGCATATTTTAATGCATGATGTATACTAATATTTGCTGTCATGATAAATTTGCCTCCATTAACTCATTCACCCCTGAAGACACATTTGAACTCTTCCAATTCAAAGGTTGGAATAGTTCATTATGAAACTTCAGGAGCGAATAAGGTAAAAGTTAAACTGCAGTGAACATTTCTAGGCATACAGTAGATGTACTTTTGAACTTTAACATAATTAAAGATTGATACACTTATGTCCCCTTACACCAACATTCAACAAGTTTCCAGGTTACAGTTATGTCCCCTACATCTGTCACCATATATATATATATATCATTGGATGGAAGATAACGGCACCATCTTACAACCTTTTTAACATAATGATATATTCACTACAACCAGACATATGTTGCAGTACTTGGCCTACCTGTTGTCTTGTCCTGTGCTGCGTACTGTAGATAATCCAGGTGCTTGGAAAGCTTCGGAAACATGAGTCCGAGCAGGTCCCTAAACACGGCCATGTCCACAGAGAGGGCACGAAGGTTGTTGGCGAAGTAACTGTCTGGTAGCACATGGTCTATCAAGTAAATCATCACCTGGAAGACAAGCATGTTAAGTCAGTCAGTCAAATGTATTGTTGTAAGGCAGTTAATGTCAAAACGAAGACAGCTAGCATTGAACAAAAAAAAATCTGTCCCTGTTTTAAAATAACAAAAGATTCATTTAGACCATAACAAAACATGTACTTCTGAGTGAATGAGAACTTCATAAAAACCATGTTACAAGTTTTAGTAACCAAAGGTCAATGAATAGCAAAAATAACTTTTCCCCTGGACACCTGGGGGCCATAATGGAATGCTATACCAAAATCAGTTCTTTTCACTCTAGTTTTAAATATGAGTGTATTCCCTACAATCCTACATTGTTCCTTGCCATTGAATTATACACTGTATGATCATATTCAAGTCGAGTAAGAAGAGTCAAAGGTCAAGGTTACCATGAGTGCGTCGTCCTCCTTTCTCTCCATGACCTCCAGCAAGAGAGCAGCGATGACGTTGAAACCCTGGCAGTAACCAACGGTCTTGTTCCATCTTGCGTAGGCCAGTAGGACACGTTTCAATACAGCACGTTCTTCTTCATTATCCTGACCACTGAATCCACTACAGCCTGTCCGGTGGAGGTCCTGTAAACAAGGGCAGACAACTTAGTATAATGGCAGACAACTTTATGTCCAAGAAGGGCAGACAACTAAGTAAAACACCACCAAACAACTTTATATCTAAACAAGGGCAGACAACTAAGCATAATGGCAAACAACTTTATGTCCAAACAAGGGCAGACAACCTAATACAACACCAAACAACTTTATATCTGAACAAGGGCAGACAACCTAATACAATACCAAACAACTTTATATCTAAACAAGAGCAGACAACTAAGTACCACACCAAACAAGGGCAGACAACTTGGTACAAAAGCCGATAATTTCATAGACAACTGGGTACATTTAAAGACCATACTAAGAAGAATTAATTCTTCATGGGTAGATAACTTACACATTGGTCAACATGAATGGACAGTTTGGAATGTAAGCAAGCTAATAGAAACAGCTAAATTGCTGGAATACAACGGTAGATAACTAGACATGTGTTTAGGTACAAGGTGATCGTTATTACATCAAATCTTGGCAATATTATGTCATATTTTACCATTATAGTTTTGTGGGAAAGTAAGAGGTGAAGAGACTAGAATGAAGTTACGTTCTACAGTTTTTTTGTACTAAATGTCCATTATAAGAATGCTTCTGACCATTCCATTAAACACTTGTTACATGTGGTGATTTATTGTGTGATAGTTGACTATATGTCTGTATGTTATCAGTATATTACTGCTGTATGTACGTCTTTCACACGTACTGACAACAGAGTGTGTCAGTCAGACATGGTTTCCATCAACTTAAATAACACAATCCTCTTACTTCAAAATCAATATGGGTGAGACAGCAAATGTGATCAATTATGTATTTCCTTGCTGTAGCATGTCTGTTAACTTACAGCCAAAGAGATCTAGAGCACACTTCAAGTGAGTTTGAAGACTGGCAACCTGTTCCTCATGAAAATCTTCACATAAATATCAATAAAGTTCCAGTGTTACAAAATCACCTCCTTTAACTGAATGAAGAGCCAGGAATCGCTAATCTTTTCAGATTTCTGAGAAATGAGATTGGTCTTTTAAGATTGATATCATCCCAACAAAGTTAACAGGACTGATTGGCCAGTAGTTTTAACATAATGGTAACAAAATATGTTTATTTTAAAACTGAAAAAAGTCCTAAAAAATAAAACATTACGCTAGCCACATCTGAGTTTGAATCAACCAGAAAAGTTACACTACAGTTTACATGTATGTTGTGGACATGATAGAATATTAGAAGATCTGATTGGCCAAGACAAGAAACAAAGCCTCAGCCAATCAGCATCCACAGCAGCCATATTTGATTATGAATTGACCTAACCTTAAGAATACAATCACCTGTTTATGAAGTATCCTGATCACGCGAAGCTTGTTAATGGCACCAGTGATGCGGGTTACAAGTGATAATCTGTACCTCTGACAACCACGCCGTGTGTACTGTTATCTTACAGTGCCAGACATTCATAGTTCATAGCAGTACAATTGATCTCACAACATACTACTTAACCCCATACAATGAATTGTCAACTAAAACGTTTTATCTACATAATGTACTTGAGTGTTGCTACAGAATTGAGATCAACTGGTTCCTTTTGTCCAGGTATGACCAAACTCCTGTTGACAAAGAGTCACCAAATTAGGCAAATTGTCTCTTTTTCCATATTGCTCAAATTAAAGACAATTGATCCACAAATACTGTAGAAGTAGAAGTAATTGTGGTGTGGAAATGCTAACATAAGCTAGTGCAAAAATATACAAACACATCATGACATGCATTTTGATGCATCAGTAAATATTGACATGCAAGAATGTTTTCATAAAAGGATTGAACGAGATATTGAAGTGTTTATGTAGTCAGTGCAAATGAGATTCCTGGAACAGCCTAATGACATCAAAATGTTTGCTTCTAGCTGTTGTCTCAAAGTAATCGGAGGAGAAGCTTTGAAATGACACCAATCAAATTGTGTTCATAGCCCTATGAATGCAATTTCTTATGGTAATTAATGCAGTGCAAAGGTATTATAAGACAATGAATTAAAACTTAATCGACTGTATGCCTTCGCTTGCGGTAGAGAATGTGTTGAGTATATGCTTTGACAGCAGTCTACAGTATTGTTAAATTTGCCAATTTCATGACATGTTGTCAATACCTAAGTGTATTTCTTGTACAAGTTCCAGGGTTTTGGAGTACAAGGCTTTTTAGCCTATCAAAGTACCTGATGACCTACAGCTATACGCTGTTTGCATTATTGAATACCAGCCGTTCACTGAGTGTAAACGTTTTTATAACTGAACTTCACAATCAATCAATGATCAAACATTACACAGTATCAGAGACAAAAACCAAATTCCTTGGATTCTCCTAGAGCTGGGTGATTACTTGTAGATCCTCCTGGTGTAAGGTTAATTACATTATAAATTTGTTAATATTAATCAGTCATATAAGTTAAGGATATATACAACATGACTGTGACATACACATCTCTTTTACAAACGAGTTCCACCCTAAGAAACCCCACATGACCTCCCGAGAAACACTGCCAGATCATTCGCACATGACCTCCCACGAAACACTGCCAAATCATGACCTCCCACGAAACACTGCCAGATCATGACCTCCCACGAACCACTGCCAAATCATGACCTCCCACAAAACACTGCCAGATCATGACCTCCCACGAACCACTGCCAAATCATGACCTCCCACAAAACACTGCCAGATCATGATCTCCCACGAAACACTGCCAGATCATGACCTCCAATGAACCACTGCGAGAGCATGACCTCCCACGAAACACTGCCAGAGCATGACCTCCTACGACCCACTGCCAGATCATGACCTCCCACGAAACACTGCCAGATCATGACCTCCCACAAAACACTGCCAAATCATGACCTCCCACGAAACACTGCCAGAGCATGACCTCTCACGAAACACTGCCAGAGCATGACCTCCTACGAACCACTGCCAGATCATGACCTCCCACGAAACACTGCCAGATCATGACCTCCCACGAAACACTGCCAGAGCATGACCTCCCACGAACCACTGCCAGATCATGACCTCCCATGAAACACTGCCAGATCATTTCTAAGTGCCTAATTTACTAATGTGCGGAAGCTCTGCACCTCAGAATGTCAAATAGTGACCTAATACCCTCTCGGAACAATACCTAAAGGCAACTGATGTACCTCAATGATTCATATAAACTACAAAAAATCTATTTTGTTGCCCTCCAATTAACCCATCCCCTTCTTTGAGTCTGAGTTTTTGTGTTAGCCCCATGGGCTTATTGCAGAATAAATAGGGTAAATAAAAGGGGCTTGGAAGGAGGTGGTTGTAGTTTGTTGTTTGTTTAATGGAAAAAATAGTAGGAAGGGGTGTTAATAATCAGAATAACTCCCATTACGCTGAATAATGTATTGTGATCACGACATGACATATACATATAAATATGATTTAACAGGCCATTCATGTATAGATCTAGTCGGAAACCAATCAGGACTTGAAAGGTCCGAAAATAGATACAAATGACATTCCGGCAGCAATGAGCTCAGTTATAACGACCAAAACCCGCACTGAATTATCCCCGATCAATCTATAAAAGGACACAGCTTCCTCTGGATGACACGTTCATGACCATATAAAATATCATTTTTGACAAGACAAGATAAATGTAAGTTTCTTTCTGTAATTTGATTACAAAATGAATAGATATGAATCAATAGGTCATGCCTGTAGATAAAATACAGTGTCTTGACTATTAAATGTATAAAGATGTGTTGTGTCATTATGACAGCTAGACAAAATCTGCAGGTGGTCCTTCCCCCAAGACTAAAGATAACTACAACCATTCTATAAGTGGTCCTTCTGTTAAGATATATCATTCTATAAGTGGTCCTTCTGTTAAGATATATCATTATATAAGTGGTCCTTCTGTTAAGATATATCATTCTATAAGTGGTCCTTCTGTTAAGATATATCATTATATAAGTGGTCCTTCTGTTAAGATATATCATTATATAAGTGGTCCTTCTGTTAAGATATATCATTATATAAGTGGTCCTTCTGTTAAGATATATCATTATATAAGTGGTCCTTCTGTTAAGATATATCATTATATAAGTGGTCCTTCTGTTAAGATATATCATTATATAAGTGGTCCTTCTGTTAAGATATATCATTATATAAGTGGTCCTTCTGTTAAGATATATCATTATATAAGTGGTCCTTCTGTTAAGATATATCATTATATAAGTGGTCCTTCTGTTAAGATATATCATTATATAAGTGGTCCTTCTGTTAAGATATATCATTATATAAGTGGTCCTTCTGTTAAGATATATCATTATATAAGTGGTCCTTCTGTTAAGATATATCATTATATAAGTGGTCCTTCTGTTAAGATATATCATTATATAAGTGGTCCTTCTGTTAAGATATATCATTATATAAGTGGTCCTTCTGTTAAGATATATCATTATATAAGTGGTCCTTCTGTTAAGATATATCATTATATAAGTGGTCCTTCTGTTAAGATATATCATTATATAAGTGGTCCTTCTGTTAAGATATATCATTATATAAGTGGTCCTTCTGTTAAGATATATCATTATATAAGTGGTCCTTCTGTTAAGATATATCATTATATAAGTGGTCCTTCTGTTAAGATATATCATTATATAAGTGGTCCTTCTGTTAAGATATATCATTATATAAGTGGTCCTTCTGTTAAGATATATCATTATATAAGTGGTCCTTCTGTTAAGATATATCATTATATAAGTGGTCCTTCTGTTAAGATATATCATT